GAGAGAAACAGAGGAGGACAACCACGCACAAAAGAGTAGAAACAGGATCAGGCAGGCGTCCAGCAGTACGGGCCTGGTACGCAAACGAGGGTGTGGTAGCTGCTGCTGGCAACGAAGCATCGGATGGAAGGATGAAAAAGAAGAAAAAAAAACTCGAGACAAAAATGAAACAAACGGTGCGACTCTGGCGACCTCCCTGGCGGTCTTATCTCACTCACCCTGTGCAACGGGAACATCTTCTCGTAGAAGTGCCACAGGTCCTCGCCACAATCAGATATTTCCTCCAGCTTGTAGCCCGTCAGGTCGGTCAGCTCGTCTCGCCACATCGGTCTGGTATCATTTTTTTCACATTACATTTACGTGTATGCGTGTTGTTCTTGGTGGTATATTACTTCGTTCATGGCAACCGTAGAAGCAATTAAAAAGGTGAATTTGAAGAAACTGGTTGGCATCACAGAAAATGCAACAGTATCTACGATGAACGCCACCGTGTACGCGAAACGACCTTGCAAAAAACAAAACGTGCGGCAAGCTAGCAAAATCGCAACCCTATTAACAAAAACCTTACAATTTCGGTCGGCTAGAAACCTCACTCTACATTTGGTAAATCACACAAGGCTTGAACATGAAAAAAAAAACTCCGCAAGCAGCACACGTGCTGGCCGGTGTGTGTGTCTCGCACACAAGCTACGTACGATGAAGACTGAGGACCAAATCCCAACACCAAACAACGTCAAAAAAAGAGCGAGAAGAGGCGGGCGTATCATACTTGGAAGCTCACTACAATATGCAAAGCGCCATCTCTCACTTTGGATGGGTACATCAAACACCGTTTCAACAACAACAACAAAAGTAGCTCACTTTATGCAGAGTGCTCTCCGCGCGGTAAGTATAGCGGCCGCGGCGATGTGCGACGGCTTATACCGCTGGAACTGGTAGCCCTGCTGGCACAAGTTCGCGAAGAAATCCACGTACTTGTTCATGTACGTCACGACCTGAGCAATTGTGCATCAGGGGACACGGCATGAAGAAGGGAGTCGCGGTGAGAATGGCATGGGGCACGCGTGGGTGTTATTAAATTACCGTAGGTTTAGATTTGCATCGTGCTTCCAGCTGTGACGAGGCACCCAAGTGGTTGGCTGCGAAATCTACGTCCTAAACGGCGACCCTTTCGGAAAGGAAACTTCGGCGATAGGTTTCTCAGTTGCCATGACGCCGACCAACCATCGCCGCACCTTCTCGACGAGCCGCCTCCCTTGGCACGTGTCGTCCGGCGCGGTTACTCCCTGTCGTTGTCGGAGAAGACAACAAGCAATAATCGCGGCGGCGGCGGCAGCAGCAGCAGCAGCAGCAGCAGCAGCAGCAACAACAACAACAACAGCAGCAGCAGCAGGGGCGCAGGAACGGTGTGACTGACGCGCGAACGGCAGCAGCAGCGCAACAGCATTCATGCCACAACAGTCCCCGTACTCCTTCCTCCCAGCGCGTTGAACGGACTGATGGACAGTCAAACGTCTCCATCAGCGACACTTCAAACCTCCATGTCAACATTCTTCTGCCAAATTCTACTCAAAACGCCAGCACCTTCCATTAGATGTCATCCGTGTCTACCAGTTTCTACCTAAACCAGACAGGTTCTCGGCTTCTTCCGTCTAGGGAAGGATTGGAACTAAGCCAAAACACAATCGACTACGGCACACGCAACATACACCATTGCCGGAGCAGCAAGTTGTCGATGCACGCTCGAATCCCCCCCCCTCCCCCCCTCCCCCCTCCCCCCGACATCACACCTGTGAAGTGTAGTACCCCAAGAAGTGCATGGCGGTCACCCGCGATACGTCCCACTCAAGCCGGCTGGTGCGGTGTCGGCCAAAAGCAAAAGGACGGTGCAAGCGAAAAAGGGGGCGGTATAAGCCAAAAGTCAAGGACGGTGTTGGCCAAAAAGCAAAGGGACGGTGCTGGCAAAACGCCAAGGACGGTGGTGACCCAGAGCAAAGGACGAATACCCCCCCAAAGAAAAACCACGACAACAAGCGGGAACCACGCCACGGGCGTAACGGCGCAACGAAGACACGCGACAGAAACAACAGCAGCGGCAGGCGGGGAGGCAAGAGCCGCGGTAATGTCGCGGCCAGGCCACACACGATTATTTTGCCCTTTCGCGTAGACTCCAAGCACCATACAGCAGTATGCCGCGACGTCCCAGCAGTAATGAACGTTCTGACGACAGACAAGCATGCCATGCTGAGCACTCATGCTACCAACTTCGGGGAAAACGTCAACTTAGTACGCTCACTTTTGCACGAGGTCGAGCTCTCCGCGTGTTACGATGGAAGTTGTCAGCGACATCTCCGTCGCATCGGCGAGTTCCGAGATCATGGGCATGTTACACTCCGCCTCCTCGTACTTGGCTGTGGTGTGTGTGTGGGGGGGGGGAGATAGCGCGGGGACGTCGCACAACAGTGTTGTTGTCGTTGTTGGTTGTCGGCTACGCAACAAACACATTCGCACAAAATACATTTGGTTCTGACGATTACGAAGAGTGCCAAGCGTCTCCCAAGCGTGCAATTTTATTTATCCACCCGGAACGCCTGGGGATTTCGCCCGGGATGGGACGAAAACTATAGTAAGCCCATTAACATCGAAAAAACTACTGGACGAACATCGGAAAAAAACAAAACCTCGCACAAAAGATAAAAACGGGCAGAAAAAAAAGGGGTCCTGGCCAATACAATCGTCAACGCTGTCAGCAACATTTCGGGGCGCAAGAACGCAAGCAGCAGTGCCAGATACCAAGTTTCTTGGGTGCGGGCTTGATCGAAACATCCCAAACTAGAGCGAAAAAAAAAAGAAGGTTTTGGATCATTGGCTCTCAACGTCGTGACCGAGCGAATCAACGACCACGACAGGCGCGAGAAAGCTCCCTTAAAACACCTCTAAATCAGAGCCTGGTCCCGTGAGAACCCGGCGTGCTCCGTCCCGGCTTTGTAGGGATGCGAGGTCAATGGTCTAACGACCACGGCATGCACGGCTATGAGTACCCCCCACCCCACCCCACCCCCCGCGCGCGCCTATGGTCTAGCAACTACGGCATACGTTTACGTGAGTACACGCCTCCTGCGCCTTAATACTTCATTCACACACCGGCTATGCTGAGGCAGCACACGGCGTAGAGGTGCCAATCTCTCGTACTGTAGTCGGTCAGCACCATCAGCTCGTCCAGGAAAGAAACGGCCGAG